CTGTTCCAACCATTTCTGAAATGACAAAAAAAGTGTCAGAAACTCGGAATTTTCTACAATCACGCCAAGTTCCTAATCATATCTGGGAGTCCTTTTGAGATCTTGAAAACTACATAAATAACATTAATTTTTGCAGCACAAATGTACAAACAAAAATTACAGACTTTATGAAGTAGATTTTAAATTGAATTTTGTATATCTTTTTGTGTTCTTTTTAGTCATACCTACTAACTTCTACTGCTCTATGTAAAAATAACGAAATAAAATACACCACGTGTTTTTGTATTATTATTCGCTTATAGCGAACTCCGGATATAACGAACCAGTTTTAGTTCATTTTTCAAGTTCGTTATATCCGGACTAGTTTCAAATAAATTACTCACTGAAGTTACCCGCCTTTGCCTCAAAGCATCGTGCATAAGCAGAGCATGTTGTGGGCAGGAAAAACTTTGCGAAAAATCGAATATCGACTAGGACAAGATGAAATTTAGACACAGAAATAAATAAACTGCCAATCAAAAACTTCCATTGAACATTAAGAACGAAACTTTTTTTACCTTCAGTGTTCACAAAAATAAACAACGCCGACAAAGTAAAGAAAAACTGACTGAAACTTACACTCGAAAACATTTTTAACCGTTTTTTGTTTCAGAACTTCTGTACTTTTCGTTTCCATCACCTTCATAGTGCTGATGATCATCTCCCTAACATGGCTTGTGTTTTACTACGTGCAAAGATTCAGGTACATCCGGACAAAGGATAAACTTACAGTAAGAACCCGATTTGCGCATTGCTTGCCGAGTTGTAACTAGTGTTTTTTTCTGTAGAGGAAATTGGGAAATGCGGCCAAAAAGGCGCTGTCGAAAATACCCACGAAAACTATCAAGATGGATGACAAGGTAATTAATTAAAGCAGATAATCGGGTTTTCCGGGAAAAATCCGGAGTTTGCGGCAACCGCAAACTGGCAAGTTCGATACGTTTTAAAGCAAGCGACCAATCAAGCAGAGTGTTTTTTGTGGGTTTCAGGAAGTGCAAGGCGATGGCGAGTGCTGTGCGGTTTGCATAGAGCCCTATAAACTAAGTGAAACTCTGAGAATTCTGCCTTGTAGGTGAGTTTGAAATTTTCGTGCAAAAGTTAACATTGGGAAATCACCCAACAAACCCAAGTGCATTACAGATAAGCGCGCTTGATTTGCACAAATTAAAGCCGGTGGCTTTATTTCGATGGTTCAATAAACCAGATGTGCAAACAGTCAATATTTAAACAATTGCGTGATTTGGAGCATGAGTAAAGGTGAGAAAAAAATTATTGACTGTCATTTGAATTGTTTTTCCACTTTACCTGCTTCCTAGCACTGCAATTGGTAAATATGCTGTGCAAATTTGCCTATTAACGCTCGCGGAGGTGCTGTTTCATTAAAAACATCCATTTATGCAACTATTCACTTTTTTTCCTAAAAAAAAATACGTTTGATTGCAGACACGAATTCCATAAAAACTGTATAGACCCGTGGCTGTTGGATCACCGAACTTGTCCAATGTGCAAGATGGACATCCTGAAGCATTACGGCTTCGTGGTCAGTAATGCTCTGTTCCATCCGGACACCTATTTGTTCTAGACAGTACTTTAGAGCCGTAGATTAATAGACCAGGGGCGAAGTGTGCACTCGTCCCCAAATTTCCTAATCCCGCTGTGATATTTTTACGTATAGCGCATCACATCCACACTCAACCGACACAAGTTGCACAACACACTTTCTTTTCCTGTTGGAGACTTTGGTTTTTCACTTTAGGTGGAGGTAAAGAAGCATTTACTTTGTGTTTGCTTGGTGAGATTAACAGCGGGTTGACTGAACTAACTCATCACTGTGCGTAACCCGAAAGATTTGTGCTTCCATTGCATGTTTGTTCTGTTTTCCCGGTTCCGCATCTAAAATCCACGTACAGATTTTCAATCAAACCAATTTTCCGAAACTCCTCGCTTTCAATTAACACCCATGTATATGACGCTTGCATTGGATTAACGACTCTTATCCGATTTACCTCCGCTTTAACGCTAATCGCACTGTACTGTGCTGTTTATTGGTAATTAGTGCGACCATACTATTTATAAACGCGGCTTTAATCAGTGGATTGCAACGTTTCAGTTTACTGGCAGTCAGGAGAGCATTCTTCAGATTGATGGGCTCGAGGATCATATCATTGAGAACTCCAACGTTAGCCAACCATTGAGTCCTCGACGTGGCAGCATCAGTCCGTTGCCTGAGATCAGAGCCATTGTTATCTCAAATCAACAAGTAGGTAAAATTTCCTTCGCTATAATTAGTGCAATTTTCACAAAATATGCCAAATTCCCAGAAGAGAATGTTCACTACTCTTCGATCAACTGTGAAAATGCCAGGTGGCTACTTGCTCTAGATCTTATGCTGGGGATTTTGAAGAGATTGCAGTTGTTTAAAGCCGTCCTTTTTCGAACCTGATTTTCCAAAGCTCTCAAAAATCATGTTTCCCGTCGATTTAAAACTTGCAGATCATCAAGTGTCTTCTATAGATTGTGCAAGTTTCAGCTTTGTACTTGTACTATTTTAGAAGTTGTGATTTTTTTTAAAAAGAGCTTTAGTTTGGAACCGTCTACTTTTGGACCAGATTTTTCAAAGCTCTCAAAAATCAGGTTTCCGTACGATCTGAACAAAATTTTCAACATTTCTAGAATCAACTGTCTTCCATAGATTGTTCGAGTTTCATCTTCTGGCTTGTCCTATTTTAGAAATTCTGATTTTTTTAAAAAAGATCTGTAGTTTGAAACCGACTACTCTTAGACCAGATTTTTGAAACCTCTCAAAAATCAGGTTTCGTACGATTTAAACAATATTTTCACCACTTTCACAATCAACTGCCTTCTATAGATTGTCCACGTTTCAGCATTCTGGTTGTCGCTAGTTCTGAAATTATGATTTTTTCAAAACAGAGCACGAGTTTGAAACCGTCTATTTCCAGACCACATTTTTCAAAGCCCTCAAAAATCAGGTTTCCGTACGATCTAAATAATATTTTCAACATTTTTAGAATCACCTGTCTTCTAAAGATTGTCCGAGTTTCAGCTTTCTGCTTGTCCTAGCTCAGAAATTGTGATTTTTTTAAAACAGAGCCCTAGTGTGAAACCGCCTATTTTCAGATTACGTTTTTCAAAGCTCTCAAAAATCAGGTTTCGGTGCGATTTAAACAAAATTTTCAGCATTTTCAAGATCATCTGTGTTTTATCGATTGTTCACGTTTCCGCTTTCTGCTTCTCGCAAGTTCAGAAATTGTGCTTTTTTTAAAGAGCTGATTTTTAAAAAACGGTCTACTTTAAGACCAGATTTTTAAAACCTCTGAAAAATGAAGTTTCCGTAGGATTGAAACAATATTTTTACCACTTTCGGGATCAACTGTCTTCTATAGATTGTCCCAGTTTTAGCTGTCTGCTTGTCAGAGTTGAGAAATGCGATTTTTTTAAAACAGAGCACTATTGTGAAACCGGCTATTTTCAGATCACATTTTTCAAAGCTCTCAAAGATCCGGTTTCCCTACGATCTCAACAAAATTTTCAACATTGCTAGAATCAACTATCTTCTATAGATCGTCGAAGTTTCAGCTTTCTGCTTGTCCTAGTTCAGAAATTGTGATTTTTTTAAAACGGAACACTAGTTTGAAACCGTCCACTTTCAGACCAGATTTTTCAAAGCTCTGAAAAATCAGGTTTCCGTAGGATTGAAACAATATTTTCACCACTTTCAGGATCAACTGGTTTCTATAGATTGTCTAAGTTTCAGCTTTCTGCTTGTGCTCGTTCAGAAATTGTGATTTTTTTAAAAACAGAGCACTAGTTTGAAACCGTCTAGTTTTAGACCACATTTTTCAAAGCCCCCAAAAATCAGGTTTCCGTACGATTTAAACAAAATTTTCAGCACTTTCAGGATCAACTGTCTTCTATAGATTGTCCCAGTTTCAGTTTCTTGCTTGTCTTATTTTAGAAATTGTGATTTTTTTTTAAAAGATCTGTAGTTTGAAACCGTCTACTTTCAGACCAGATTTTTCAAAGTTTTCAAAAATCAGGGTTCCGTACGATTTAAACAAACTTTTCAGCACTTTCAGGATCAACTGTCTTCTATAGATTGTCCCAGTTTCAGCTTCTTGCTTGTCCTATTTTATAAATTGTGATTTTTTTAAAAGAGCTGTAGTTTGAAACCGTCTACTTTTAGACCAGCTTTTTCAAAGCTCTCAAAAATCAGGTTTCCGTAGGATTGAAACAATATTTTCACCACTTTCAGGATCAACTGGCTTCTATAGATTGTCTAAGTTTCAGCTTTCTGCTTGTGCTCGTTCAGAAATTGTTATTTTTTTTTAAACAGAGCACTAGTTTGAAACCGTTCACTTTCAGACCAGATTTTTCAAAGCTCTCAAAAATCAGGTTTCCATACGATCTAAACAAAGTTTCCAACATTTTTAGAATCAACTGTCTTCTATAGATTGTCCCAGTTTCAGCTTTGTGCTTGTCCTATTTTATAAATTCTGCTTTTTTAAACGAGAACTGTATTTTGAATCTCAAAAATCAGATTTTCGTGCGATTTCAACACATTTTTCAACACTTTCAGAATCAAATTGATATCGGCAAGTTGCTACTTGCCTTGGGTTAAAAATTTTAAATCAGAACTTCCGTTGTGTCAAACATACCACGTCTCAATCTTTGAAAACTTGGAAAGTCCAACTCTCTTGGTCCACCAAACTTTTCACTCAACAGCACTGGTTTTCCGTTCACAAATCACGTTTTCAACTCCTTTCCAGAGACGCTGTGCTTTTGACAATTCCAGAGACGACGATAGCAGCCGTTCGTCCACTCCAAACGAAATGACGCCGAGTTTAGGACCGAAAAACTATTCAGCTAACGTATCTGGTGGTGTCCAGAAGTCTCAGCGCTTGGATGTGTGCGAGAATTGTGGCGCTCCTGTACCGGCTCAGGAACCGGACATCCACTCACAGCCCTCTTCCAGTCACATAATTGAGATCCACGAGCAAGAATGAGCATCCAGTATGAAAGTGTTCTTTTCCTTGACCACGTGATAGATGGAAAGCCCGCTCTTTAAGGGGGCAATTTCTAATTTTCCTTGACTAGTTAAGCCTAGGTCGAGGATACTTATCGGACAATGTGAAAGTTGTGCGGTTTATCCGGTAATATCGGACCGTAGTTTCATGGTGCACTATCCCCAGTCATTTAATGTTCAAATAGTCAATTCGTTCATCAGTTGAATTTTGGTTGCCATACAGCAATAAAGCATCCATTTCCTCGTCTGGACATCACGAACATTGTAGAATAAGATTAGCGTAGCACATATTCTAAATTACTGACTAAAATTTTAAAGAATATGACAAATTAGCGTTATGAATAAGCTGTACTTATTTACATACAAAGTTGCGGCAATGTTAGCATGGAGAAAAAACATTCGATTGTGATATTGACTTGCGTCGTTAAAGCTGAACTATTATGTATTCGCCCTCAAATCAAAATTCAAGCAAAACATTCACATGTCGGTTAACGAACTGGACTGGTTGGTATTCAATTTTAAGCTAGTTTTTCGACTGCCTTCTCCCTCATTTTGTGATATATTTTAGTGATTAACCCTTGTCCGTATGGGGACGATTGTTTAGTGGTACTTTTGACTTAATTTACAAAAGTTGTTAGTACTTATGTTAGTTGTTTAATAGTCCTTAACCGGTTTTTATTGTAAATAGTTTGTAAGTGTGGAACTGCCCGAACTATACCGGGGGTCCACTGGATTTTTTGCTACGAAAGTTACATGTGTAAGCTATGGTTGTTCATCTTTTTCTGGGTGCAAGACAATGAGACTCAACAGCTGGAAGCTGGTATTCCACCATGAATGTGCTTTCTCAGTATCGTCTTTTTTAATTCTTGAAACTTTGCTAATTGCATCAAAACGAACATAAAACAAGTGGCTTATCAACTATTTTTCCACTGCTCTTCCAACTAACATAGAGTAGATGTAGTATTTAATGCTGGCAAGGAAGTCAACGCATTTTCTAAAATAATGTACTCACAACTATTTTAAATAAGGTATGTCACTTTGTGGGCGTTGACTAATTTCTGCCTTCAGGAGAGCAAACCTAGTTCATGATTTCCGCATAATGTAATGATTTGATCAAAATGTGCCTTGACCCTTTGTTGGATTTTTTATGTATAAACTAAGCAATTGGCTTGTAAACTGACAAAACGTTCATCAATAAGACACTTAAGTAAGCTGTATATACCAGAAGCTATGTTTAAACGACTGAATAAAATTAATTATGTTACTTTCAAAACATGTTTTTTGTTCGTTTAAGACGCGTTGGAGTAAAACAGTATGTTGGCATATACAAAATATAATGTATCTAACATACATAACACAGTACAATATTGCAATATCAATAACTAGACGTGATCTAGAAGGGGACATATTTACTATGCAGGATGTTCTACCAACTTGAGCGAACTATTGAAAGGCCATTTGCTGGAACATCCTGTTTAGTTGGGTATTGTCCAACTTACTAATACATTTCCCATTAAACAGATAACATGAAAATAAACTCACAGTAGTTTCCTGACCGTTGAACGCCTTCAGGCGCAATTTTAATAAACGAACGAACACATACGAAATGCATGATAGGCTAGGTAAAAATTCAGTCACATAGATAAATAAAAAAACATTCACTTGAGCAACTGATTGCTGTATTAAAGTCGCGGGGATCGCGATTCGAAATAAATCTGAGCCCCAAAATACGCAAAGTTAATCGTTTTGAACCGATCAGAATGCATTTTCTGGCAAAAACATACAAAAAAATTGAATCTCAAAGGCCTTTCTATCTAGGCAATCGAAAACTGATTCATATATAATTGTTAGTTACATTAACACTAACAAGAGCCAGAGCTCAATATAAAAAACAACAGAAAATCAATGTTAGTCTTACTTACCCCCGAGCATCTAGGCCGAGGTTCTTATATCACTTTTATTTTTGGTATTTTTTACGTGGATGAGCCTGCTAGCGGAATCCAACTCACTATCTCGTGAACGGCGAATTTTGAACACACATAAAACTTCCTTTCCGTTTCGGTTTCTTTCACAGCCATTGATATGATCGGATGTTTTCCGATTATCTGCTTGGAAGTGTAGTTCTTCATATCGAAATTCTTCCAGTTTTGTAGGCGGTAAAAATACACCTGCAAAACAAAGTTTGTTGATCAGAAGGAAACCTGCCTCGGTGCTAACACTTACTGAACCACAAGATGTGCCAAACAGCAGTGTATTTCCATAGAGAAAAGTGCTGGTAATATTGCTGCTGAATATCTCCCAGGTGTTGAACATCTTTATGCTGAAATCCTTGTTTGGCTTGAGTATCACAATTTCCACATAATCTTCTATAACCGCATCGGACAATCGGCAAGATTTTTCAGCATTTTTATCTGCAATTAATGAGCAAGTTCAACATCAGCCCCACCAGTAACTGCCAAGTACTTACAAATATTTATGATAACATTGTCGCGAAGAATCTGCGTTGTTGAACTGTCGAGCATCAAAGGCGAGTGGAACTTGATTGGTACCCCCTTAGTCATTTCCATCATCGGCGTTATATCGGGGCTTTTATAACAAACCGTGCACAGTCTGTCGTTTATTAAAAAAGTGCACTTTCCATTCCACATGTTGTAGGTAGTGGTGCAAGTAGGGGAGTATATTCGAGTGAACCAGACGTCTTTTACATTATACCCTCCGCTGCAACTTTTGTTTATTTCCACGATCGTCATCCTGCCACCAACTTTTTCAATGCAAACATGTTTCCCAAAAACACTGTTGAAAATACTGATTTACTGTTAAGGCCCTCACTCAACCTCACTCAACTCGCCTATGCGATATGACATCCAATATATCGTATTGCCGTTTCTCAAGACCGTCATAGGAGAGTATTGAAAGACCATTATTAAACGCGACCACTAAACATATGGAAAAATTGTGCGAATCATCCAATCGTTGATCTAAAAACGAATGTGGTTAATCAGAGAAAAAGGAATTTAGCCGGAAACTCACTTCCAATAAAGGTGAGTTTGCTCAGTTTTACAGCTACGATTCGATGCACGAATAACAATTCCTTGTTGCAAGTGTATACTTTCAGTCGGCCATCTTCAGATCCCACTGCGATGTATTTGTCTGAAATGTTGAAAAAAAAACACTTATTTTAGACTATGTTAATGTAAGTTCCAGTTAAAGCAAAATAGGAGCCAAAAGTTATTCACACATATTTGAAACTAGTAGATGTATCAATTTTGCAACATTAAGACATTGCCTTAATGTTCCAAAAATACTTAGCCTTCGATCTACATGGTAAGTAAGTCCTATTAGTTGCAATTAAATTTGATATTTAAGTGAATCCTCACTTGAAACAGCTATGGCAGATATCCTTCGCACTTCAATGTTTGTGCATAATTTAGGGCTCAAAATATGGGGATCATGTTGCTCCCAAGCCCCCCAATTGTAATAAACATGTCTCCACTTTTCCTTCGCATCGTAGCCTTCGTAAGTCTGAAGGTATTCCACCAGCTGCTCTTCTGGTATGTCTTCTTTGCAGCACCATTCCCAAAGCTTCGTTTTCTGAAAAGCAATCAAAATATTAAGCAACCTTGGATAAGGAACTGAACGAAATGAACTGAAAGTAAACGAGTTAAGAAGAGAGCTGCTTAAAACGATCAGGAGTAAGTGGGTTGTATGTTCAAAACTGGCTGGTAATTTTTATCTATACACGAAAAATTCAGTGGGCCTTTAAATAAAGTTCTACATTTTACAGATTCTTTGAGTAAAGAACTACCAACACAGTGCGAAGAGATGTTAAGGCGTAGTAGTATCAGAATCGTGTGCAAATTGAAGTAAAATCTTAATTATTACAGCATTATTACTACAGTTAAGGCTGTAGTCGCCCAAAACGGTTTAAAAACATCAAAATCAGCTTGCATACCTTGCCAAGATACTCGATGGTGTTCTTGAACGTCTCACTCACATTTGCTCCCGCAAGCAAAGTTTTCCCATCGCATTTGAGCAGAATTAACTCCAATATTTCCAAGGGAACTATCATCGTTCGGAATAATGTAACGACAAGTACAAATTGATACAATAAACTCAGCCAAAAACTACGTCGATCTTTTGTTCAATCGCACACATTTATATTTAGATCCAAAGCGCATCATCATCTATCCTCTGTTCGGGATTTGCTTACTTTTTCATTTTGCTGGATTTCCGGCACAAAGAGCTCAGTTCGGTCGCAGGACAACAGGAAATAAACTGGGTTTTCGCATTTATAACTTGAAAATGTTCCAAACTGACTTCAACAAACAACAAAACAAACCCAGCTGTCAGTGGGCACTCGATGAAGTTTGCTGGAAGTGGTTCAGGGTTATATTGGCATGACGTCAGGTAAGAGTGTCTTTGAAATTTCTCGTGGAACCAACTGAGGAGTTTACATAATATTGAAAAATTTCTGTATGCAAAAAATATGATTTTCGTCAAAAAAAAATAAGCATAAATAGTTATTTCTTGGAGACATGACAGGAGTCACGCCTAGAAACGCAACTGGTAACAGTTCAACAAACAACTTCACACTGGATGGCTGACAGAAATCGTACAGGTTGTTTTTTCCTCAGTTGATGTTTTTCTAACGTACCGAGTAGATCGACCGTTTGTTCAACTACAGCGAAAATGTAACGCGCGTTCATGAATTGCATGGCGGTTTTCTAGTGTTTGAAATAATTCGAGTGTGCGGATCAGTGCTAGATAAGCGAGTGAAACTGTAGCCGCCCTAAACATGGGAGTCGTGTTGCCCCCTTTGGAGTTTACCGAGTGTCTCAGTGATAGCCCTTATTTCAGGGAGAATTTACATAAACATGAACGAGAGTTGGAGAAAACCAATCAGCAAATTAAGAGGATAACTAAGGAAGTTAAGGACCTTTTGACGGCTGCTAAACGTAAGTACGGTGCTAATTGTCAGTCAATTTTCGCTAAGGGGCTGGACATTTACGCCCCTGAACCTTTACTGTTACTGAGCAGCAGAGCCCCACATAAATGCGTTGCGAAGTGTCTTCACCCTCTGCAGGTGCTAAGTGGGTTATTCAATTCTTGTTTGCAATTGGGCTTAAAGGCCTGAAGTTCAGATGGACTCAAAAGGCTTTGGAAGGTTTTTTTAAATTATTAAGTAGTGCTGAAGATGATTCTTTGATCTGTTTGGGGTTCAAGCATTTACTGGAATGGTACTAGGAAAAACGCGCATAAGTGTATGGAATTCCCCGACTGATTTTGGTCTCCACCCTCTTACAGCCCCAATTGGACGTCATTATTGTTGTTCTCTTTGAGGGCTGCTTTCGTATTCTCGGGGGCTTTTCTCTTAAGGAGTTTATCTTTTGATCCCTGTTCGTCTTTTGAGCTTCAATTCCAATTTCACATCGTTGAGGGTCTGTTTTTAGCAGACCTGCATAGCTGATTTTCTTCTTTAATATCAGGAAATTAATCCTGTTCGATGCAGTTTTGTTTATAAACGATCCTGTGCGAAAATACTGAAATAATGGACGATTTTCAACGCGAAAAATGCAACGAAGCATTTGGCTGTCGCATCTGATTCAGCTGGCAACTGTACTGAAAATTCCAAACCATTTCAAGTTTTAATCGCGCTCTTCATGCCTCAAACAATCAATGCATTTCCTGTTGAACATCTTCTATTAGGGTGGGTCTTTTAAGCGACTTAAAGGAACCGTGACTGTACAAAAGAGCCAGCAAACCCCCATGGGAAAACCGATTTAAAAGCTTTGCGACACCTGGTCACATTCGAATTATGTGGCTGTTTGGCGACAGTTTAATGTGTTCATTTGGGACATGAATACTGATTTTCTTCTGTTTGGTGAAAGCTTCTACTCGCCTGACCCCATGGAACGCACGTAATATTCTGATTGAGTCAAATAAGGTTTATGAGCGAGTAAACCTATCTAGTAGAAAGATGAGGCCTGGCCTTGATGGCCTCGAGCTAGCCACCAGATTTTTATTCCACAACCAGTCTTATCTGCTTATTACACTTCTTGCGGTATGGAAATTGCGCAGAATTAAGCCTATTCTCAACTCATAAGTAATCGAAATCGATTGCTTTGTTTGCCGATCTAGTGGCGGTTAATTTATTACCGTTAGCAGGATTTGTGGTGTTTAGTGACATTTAACAATTAGAGCCTAACAGCATTGGCAAATAAGACCCAGCTCGGTTTTAACAGTTCAACCAAATTTAACGCGCCTTATTTAAGCCTATCACTGCACCCGAATTTTCCTTTCACTTCTTAACCTTTTGCAATTTAATGTTATTGTCCCATTGAGGTTGGATCGCATTCAACTCAAATCCATCCTGAAACCACTCAAGGCGATCAGTATTCGTTACAGTCTCATACTCCGAATTGGTGTCAGTAAATATTTATGTCGAACCAATTATTGAACAATGACAATGTTTTCTAATAAGGTTTAAAAGGTGCACCTTGTGAATACTAAGCATCATTTCTTGACGTTGGGTTAACTACATTTAAATCGCTTTAGCCGGCGTGAAATGCTTAAAGAGAGGGATTTAGAGACGTAAAAAGCGTCGATTTTTGCCTTCGACAGCTCACATGAGTCATGTAGTTGAGCTTTCTCTAAGCACCTCTGGGGGCTTCATTGTGGACATCAATTTTTGTCCTGCTTCGTTAACTACACCTACATATTTCCTCATTAATATTAAGTTTGCATCGTCGGATTATGTGTGATTGTTAGATCCTTATTAAGAACAACCAGCCCACTTGGAACGTCTCCGAAAACTACCTACAAGCACTTTGGTAATTGGTTTGTCGATTTTCGTTTAGTGGAAAGTAGGGATTATTCAAAAATCGACATTTTAGAATACCGGTTTCGAATTTTTATAAAATAAATTTTTACTCGACTATTCTGTAATTCGAACAGAAAATTTAGGGTGGTTAAAAGCAGTTTTTGACTGAAATMATTTACTGTTCAATTTTATTGATAGTAAAAATTWTTTATGCAATTTAGTAGARCAAAGAAATAATAGTTTACCAGGATTATTTAACTTAAAAACAATTGAAACAAGTTGGTTTTTCGGGTTTTTAGGCCGTCGTTCGGTAGAATTTCTTCTTAAGAAGAAGAAAGAAGAAATGGCCTCGAAAGTCTATCTCTTTTGTTAAAAACAATTATTCGTTGTTTATGCATAATTTTCACATATAAGGATGCAAATATTTTTATAAWAGTGAAACGAGTTATTCAGCAAAGGSTTCGAATAAATAAAAACAATATATTTTCATATTTTTAAAATAACCATATTATTTAAAAAAAAAACAATGTTATTAGATACAGTTGGATACTTATTAAAAACAATTAGAAAATATATAACTGCGTATTATATAATGTAAATTATAATCAAAGCCGAAAGACAAGAGTAAATAAAGTTTATGCATACATACTTATTAAAATCAATTTTAGTTTTAAAGACAATTAAGCAAAGGACCGAGTATTTTCTATTCCGGACAATTTTAATACAAATCTAAATATTCTATTCATTTTATTGTTTAATGAAATAGGATTTCTATCGATTTGCTATTTAGCCGTGTCCTTAGTTTATTCACAAAATTCCCCGAAAAACAAAATACCCTCTCACTTGCAACCGAACTAGGCTTAATCGTTTTTAAAGCCTGATATAATAATTATAATTTTTTTGTTCTTTTATTTGTGGCTTCCAGAGCGAAAAACTCTTTTCTTAGAGTTTAAGTAGAGAATGTCACTTTCTCCGGTTCCTTTAAATATTTATTAATTGCCACTTCCATAGCATTTTTCAATAAAACATTGTCTGGCTCTTGAGTATCGCTTTCATCACATTTTTGAATATCACATTCTTCCCCTGTAAAGTAATCTTTATATAATCTTGATAATACTTGTCCGGATAACTTAATAATCTCATTTTTCGTTGCTAATGGAAGGAATTTATTAGAAGATTTCGTTAAAACAGTTTGAGAATTTTGTAAATAAAGGATAAGTGTAACTAATACTGTATCTCTTCTTTCTTCAATACGTGCGTTTATAGCGTGTAATAATTTCTGACTAATTTCATATTTCACATTTTGTACTTCACCCAGCAAAAATTCAAATATACCTTCACTTGTTAATAAATTTGCGTCTTGTCTACCTAAAGTTTCGGCTGCTACTTTTATCGGATCTAAAACTTTAAGGAGTTCTACAACTTTGTAATATTCTTCTTCATCTTCATTCCACATATGAGAAGCATTAAGGTCATTCAGAGTTAAAACAACACATTGTTTTAGGTGTACACATCTTTCTAACATGGCCTCTAAACTATTCCATCTTGTTTTACAATCCAGAATAAGATTATATTCTTTCTCGAATTTCGGTTTTACGTGATTATGAAGAATGGTATAAATACTGATAGGAAATTTTCCTTACTTTACAAATAATATTTTTATAATCATCCAACAATTTAGGAACATTTAATTTATAATTCTTTATGTCAAGAGACTCTAATTCTTCAGTCATTATCAGATTCGTCATTTTCAGAGTCCTCACTTGTAGGATTTAAATCTGTTTCCAATGGACTTTTATTTTTATTATATAATTTATCACGAACTGCTAAGTGTATGGCACCTGAATAACACAGTTGATTAATCGCTGGTGATATGTGGCCAAATTTTTCCATACAGCAGCACCATCATTTGTTGATGCAACTATATCAGTTGATA